GGGGGGTGGGGGCCGGGGCGAGGAGCCAGAGGACGGAGGGGCGGGTGAGCCGGACCTACCAGAGGCGGCGGTGCTGCGCTGCCTTGTCAGACTGGACGCTGACGACCTGGCGGCTGCGCTGGGGGGCAAGGGCGCTGCACAGCACGCACAGCATGGCAATCAGGAGGAGGGGCTGGTCGGCGAGGGCGGCAGGGCAGCCAAGCGGCGGCGGCAGGGCGAGGCGGGAACGCCGCCGCTGAAGCAGGCGCTGGCGCGGCTGGGCGCGTCGCTGCACCTGGCGGCGAAGCGGGTGGCGGCAGTCGGCGTCGGCGCGTTTGTGGGGGCGGGGGAGGCGCATCCCGGGGAGCAGGTGGCCTGGTTTGCCGGAGTGGCCTGGAACACGGGCCTGGACGCGGCAGGTGAGGCGCAGACACAAGGGCCGGTGGTCGTGTTGACGCGTGCAAAGACAGTCCTGCCAGACATAGAGAGCCGGCCTTTTGGTGATGCATATATATTTGCACCCAGAAATTCCTGGCTGTGACGTCGCGCATCAGCGTGCCTGCCCGCCTTTCACCACGCTGCTGCGCACTCCCTCGCGCCCCCCTCAAAGAGGCGCGCGAGTTTGAGTCGGCCGCGGTGCTGATGAACGCGGCGGCGGAGCTCGGGGCGCTGCACCCCGCCCCCGCGCCGCGCGACCTGCGTCAGAGGCGCATGGCGTACCTGGTCGCGGGGTCGGCGGCGCTTGAGGTGAGGGCGCCGGAAAGAGCTGGCAGCTAGCAGCGATTGACTGTTTGACCATTTATTATCCCATGTTTAGCCGCACCGTGTGACAAAGTTGGCCTCACCTGACTCCTTTCCATCGTGAAGACTCGCCTGGCTGCCTGGTCAGAGGTGCTGCCAACCTCATAAGCGGCTCTCTCCTGCACGCACGCCCGCCATCGTCGAACAAATCGACCTCGACCCCGCAGGTGCACAAGGACGGCGACCCGAAGCAGCGCCGCCAGAGCCTCGGCCTCGCGGGCCGCATGGTCGCCGCCAGCCGCCGCGCCGCGGAGGCCGAGGCCGCGGCCGCCGCCGCGGCCGGCGGCGGCACCGGCGGCGGCACCCTGGCAGACGCGTTCACGGCCCTGCAGGAGTTTGGCATCGCGGCGCGGCGGGGGGACGCCGAGGGGCTGCGGGCCGCGCTGGCGGCAGCCGCAGGGCTGGCGTGCGTGGGGGCGGAGCACCTGCTGAGGATGGCTGCGGTGGTGGAGGACCCCGAGTTCAGGTGGGGGGCCTTGGCAGGCTTGCCTGCGGGATCGCCCCCGCCCGCCCTACAACCCTGGGGGGGCCAGCCGTCCCTGTGGAGTTATTTGCGGCCTGCCATCAAGCATGTGCGCCGCAGCACTCCTGCAGGGACGACCGCGCAGGGGCTTTGCATATGAGTTCGCTTTACTGTACGGGGGGACTTTTAGCTTACGTTGTCGGGCGGCGCCACAGCGCTTTTTGATCAGCTCATCACGGTGCCCACATCATTGCCTGGCCTTTGGGGCCACGCCTGCCGCGGCCCGACCGCCCAGCCAACACCCAACCGCCCGCCCACCCACCCGCGCAGCCACCCCGACGTACTGATGGCGGCGCTGACAGCCGCCCTGGCCAAGCTGATGGCGCGCGGCGACCCGGACTGGCCGCGCGTGGCGCTGGTGGTGCGGCAGATGGCGGGCGCGGCCACCAGCCACGCAGAGCGCGTGAAGGTTTTTGAGTGAGTGCTGGGGCCCCGCATCGGACTGCTCCTTGTGTTGTGTGCTGGGACCTGTCCCCCCCTACTCAGACACGTATGACATGGGAGTTTTTTCAAGCCCTGTCCGAGCTCTTGCGGCGTCGCAGCTGGCTTCAACAGCAGTGGGATCGCTGTCAGCAGACCTGGCATCATTACTGTTGCTGTTACTCCCCATACCGACAACCCCCCCTCCCCCCACAACCACAGAGAGGGCGCCCAGATCCTGGGCTCAGCCCCGCCCAACGAAGGCGTCGGCGACGAGGGCGGTGCCACCAAAGGCTACCCGGAGAGGTGCGGGCGAGGCGGCGGCTAAGTCAGGACGGCGCAGCGGCGGCTTGCCGGGTGTGCACCCTTCAACTTGCCGACCACGCACATCAACATGTTGGCATGGGCACTTGGGCAAGCTTGGTGCCCATTGCATCATTCAGGTGTATCAGACTGCAATCCAGATGTGACGGCGGTGGTGCTGTTCCCTGAATCAGTGCCAACTACCACTCACCCTGGCCTCCCCCACCCTCAGGGAGGCGCGCTGGCTGGCCGGCAGCTGTTGGAACGCCGGCCTCGCCAGGCTGCGCCGCGGCGACAGGCGCGGCGCGGCGCCGCTGCTGCGGCTGGGGCTGGACATGCTGCGCCACCTGCCGCGGTGGGGGGCGCCCGACAGGGCGGCCATGGAGGAGCTGGCGGCAGAGGTGGGGGCAGCCGCGGCGGGTGCTGGGGGCTGACGCTGGCGGAGGGGGTGCGGCGGGCTGGGGCTGGCGTGGGAGGCACCTTGTGGTGATTTATGATGCAGCCTGCTATGGATGTGCTTTTGCAGCCTCCGCTTCCGCCTCCGCTGACGCATGTATCGTGGCTGCCATGTAATACCCAGGTTTCAGGTTGTTGGGAACGCACAGTCATGTCCCATTTGTCCCAACCCCAAGCCCAGCGTCCATACTCCTGGCTGCAAGTGCTTGTGATGCCGCACCCGATCAGGGCGCTCGTCCAGCCTCAGAAAAGTACAAAGCAGCAACATCCCACAGAAGGGGGAAACCTTGGGTTTTGCTGCTGGCTGCGTTCTGCGACTTGCCGGGCGCGCGCGGGGGCGCGGGCGCAGGGCGCTCGTGGCGTTCGGAGGAGCCGGGGGCGGGGCGAGGGCGGCGGGCGGGCGCGGGG